TTATTATTATGTGTATGTTAGTGTGTGCAAGAAAAGTGTGACAACAATTTTGCGCAAAAATTCCGTCATTTTCGTTATTGATGGAGGGTATCCGACTCTCTCCCCCAAAAAAGAAAAAATAAAAAAGGAAAAAATCGAATAAAGTGTCGGGTGTTTGGAAATTAAAATAAAATCCAAAAAGAATAATATAAATTAAAAATAATAGCTATATTTTATTAATTATGAAAAGGATCGAAAAGGATTAAACGGAGCCATAAAGTCATTAACCGATTCGAGCTTAATATTAAAAACGCAAGTTGAGCACGCGCGGCTGGTCTGGCAACTTGGCGCCAGCTGGCGCCACCATTATGGCGCGTGGCGCCAGGCGCTACACTTAGCGTGTGGCGCCAAGCGCAGGCGGTTGGCGTCAAGCGTAGGCGGTTGGCGTCAATCACGGGATTTTGACGCCAATTAGCGCTGACTCTGTATTTTAATCTGATTAAAATTCCTCGCAATTTGTGTATAAAAATCCCCCTGCCCAGTCGATTCTTTTCATAATTCCAGCGAATAAATAATTCTCTTCTATATAACAACAATTATGTCTTTAGCTACCAAAACCTTCACCCAATACACTCATGAATGGTGTCGATCTCTTAATGCGAGGGAGAGAAAAGAATTAGATTTATTTCACCTGGGGGGAATTTATGGCATCAAAGGGGTAGACCTTGACCTAGACTTCATACATACCGCTTTAGAATTTTGGAATGTTGATACTCATTGTTTTAGAATAGGGTATGATGAGATTAGCCCTTTGCCGGAGGAATTTGGTGCTATCTTAGGCTTCCCTGCGATAGACCTTGTAGCAATCCCTAGAGTAGATGCATATTATTATAAGGATTTTTAGCGCTTCTTTAATTTGAAGGAAAGGGATTTATCAAAAATAGTGGATGGAAACATAGTTAATTTGAAAGAATTTGCACGCTATTATTTTGATAAACCTCTTTCTGAATGTTTTCATATATATAGGAGAAGGGCGTTCCTATTTTGCATGCTTAACCAATTTTTTCTTAGTAGTGGTAAAAATAATGAGGGTCAATCAACTATAACCACTGTACTAGAACAAATTGAATCAGGGAGAAATCCAATGCCATTAATAGTTGGAGAGACTATGATTAGTCTAGATGAATTGAAAAGGGACCCAAAAGCGCCTGTTCGCGGCTCTCCAATTTTATTACAGGTAGAAAAATATTATTTTTAATTATAGAAATCAAAATATATATTTTTGTATTGTAATAATAATTTATTTGCATTGCAATTTTTTTATAGATGTGGCTAATGGAGAGGCTAGGATTAATTAGCCCTCCGGACGACATTGAAAAATATACTCCCAATTGCTTCGTGAGAAGGAAGAAGCGCATCCCTAAAATTGGGCGCCATGGTTGGAGAAAAGTCTTTGAATCACGTGATTTTACTATCAAGTGGTTCGTTCCATGGTGGAAAATAGAAATGATGGTTGGTGTTAACAAGCAACCTTTCTGCCGTCTTCCAAGCTTGTATCGTGTAACTTATTATTATCCCTGCAGGGTAAAAAGACAATATGGCTTGCTTCAGAATATTCCTTTCGGAGATCTTCGTCCTCCCTTTGAGTACCCTATTTCTCAAGAAGTAGACAGATTTGATGCTTAATGGAGCGCTAGACCTTTATGGGAAGTGATTACCCAAAAGGTTCCTCCTTTTTTGCCCAATGATGTAAAGAAGTGGTTGCTGAAGAAATCTTCGATTGATCAGGGTAGAACCGATGTGAAGAATCGTTTAGGTGACAAGGTGACTCTTTCCAAGGAACGCTTAGGTGCAAGAATTGAGTTCAAAACACCTGCAATGCCTAGGAAGAAAGCTACTACCAAAGACAAAGGGAAAAGGAAAGCTGAAGGGGAGACCATCCACTCTAAAATCGAATGTAGGTCCTCTAAAGGATGCCTACTAGCTAAAGTTATGGATGAAGAGGAGGAAGCAGACAAGAATTGGAAAAGAGCTAGAAAGGAAAAGAAAGATTAAGAGCATTGCTTAGCCTTAGATTTATTAGACTTAGATTGTTATTTTTATTCAAAGTTAATTTATTTCAGCTTTATTTAAATTCCATCAATAATGTAATTTTATTTTATTAATGAAATTTAAGCTTTCAATTAAATTATTTACTTCAAATTTATTTTATTAAAGCAATGAAAATTGAAAAAAAATTAATTTTCCAGAAATTCTTCGAGTACGGAAGTCGAAAATTTTCCGAAAAACACCGAAATTCGCCCAGATTCTATTTCCAGATTGGCGCCAGTTATTGGCATTTGGCGCCTGCCATTGAAGTCTGGCGCCAGGCGCCAATTCCATCGGCTGGCGCTGATGACTCCTGGCTGGCGCCAGGCTCTGTTCTGCGACGCCAATAATTCGCTGATTTTCTGTTGAATTTTTAATTGATTCTGGAACGCGGAGATGTCGAAAAATAAAGTGGCCACACCCGTAAAGGGTTGCCTACGTATCCTTTCTTAAGGAATCAGGCCGAACGTAGCTCTCTTGAGTATCCTACTCAAGTAATTATGGGTAGTATTTCTTAAGTTGGTCATGATTTGTCATGTTTGAGAATTCATTGCCATCCAGATCAATTAGTTTTGCTGCACCACCTGATAGGATTGTCTTGACAATGTAGGGTCCAGACCAATTATGTCTAAATTTTCCCCTTGGGTCTAAAACATTTTTCCTTAGTGCTTTTAATACCAAATCTCCTACTTTGATATTTCTTGTCTTGACCTTCTTATCACTAGTAGAAAAATGTACATTTGCGTCGCCATATTTGCGTCACTCATTCTAAGGAGCGAAGCAAATGTTTATTTTTACCATCCTTTTAAATTATTTGCGTCGCATATTATTCAAGAAGCGACGCAAAACTCAAGTGCATTTCAGCTTTCTATCATTTGCGTCGCTCCTATTTATTAAAGCGACACAATTAATAAACTTATTTGTGTCACTCATTAGTTAGCAGCGACGCAAATAAGTGATTAAGTAAATTGCGTCACTCTTTTACTAATGAGCGACGCATATGAACTGTGTGCAACATTATAAACAAGGTTATTTGCATCGCTTTTTTATAATAAAGTGACGCAAATAACTCTTTTGGCTTTAGGTTTTTCTGCGTGTTTTTACCTTAGTTTTTCATCAGGTACGCCTACATTCACTATACAAAAAGAAAAAAAAAACAAGAGTTCTTAAATTCCAGCGAATTTATACAGCAAAACACCCACAAATTTGTCTCTGAAATCCAACAAATTCGGCCAAAAACTTGCGTTTCCCCAGCAAATTTAACATCTAAAATCGCAGTGAAGTCGAAGACCCATAATCGGCTGCAAATCCGAGCAATTTCGAGCAAAAATTTAGACCAAAAACCCTAAGAAATTCGAAGCCTTAAACCCAGAAAAATTGATTGTTTCCGACCAAAAATCCCCCATTTCGAGCAAAAAAATCAACTCAAAAGCATACAAATTCGACCCTAAAAACCCCAAAAAATTCAATTTTGGTCTTCAAGTTCGATTGGGGGATTTCGTGAGGGGATTTCTAGGGTTTTTGGCAGCGACGCAATATACCCTAAGAAGTTCGTCCCATTTCAGTCATAAATAATTTTTGTTCGAATTTCAGTCAAGAAATTACAGCAACAATAGTTTAAGTCAAGAAATTACAGCAACAATAATTGTTTGAATTACGTCTTTTTCTAGGTTCAAGTCAAGAAATTACAGCAACAAAAATTCGAGCAATAACTGAAATTTTCGAGTGGAAAAATCGCTTAATTTCGCCCCAAAAAACCCGAGGAAGTTCAAGCAAATTACAGCAACAACAATTGAAGTTCGATTTCGGCTCGACATTGTTGAATTTTTTAAGTCAATTCCACCTATGGTAAGATTGCTTCTATTTATGTTCAATCTTTTCTTGGTAGATAGAATGTAGCATTTATATGAGTTTGTTATTATAAGAGTGGAATGGTGCTCATTCTGCCTATCTTCCCATATTATCTTTATTATGAATCTTGTAGGAACATGAATTACACGAATGCTTAATGTTGAGGGAATTTATAACCCCCGTATTTTGTTCATATTTTCCAAGTTAGAATCATTGAGCATGATAAATGTTGAGTGAATATGCATAACATTCTGAGGCAGTGAGCAGTGTGAAGGATTTGGTTTATGATTCCCAAAGACTGTAGTCCTGCTGGACTCAACCCACCTGCCTTGCCTTTTGTCTCAGTTCTCAATGCCCCAACTTTTAAAGTCTGAATACCCAAAAGAGAGAGGCATGTGGGTGTTAAAAATAAGCTTTAATTATGATTCATGATGTATTGAAAAATAGTGGGTGCTCTGATTTAAGCCACTTATGATTTCATGAAAGTCTATTTGAGATTTATCACCCTTCAATCACATCTAGGCCATATGTTGCTTAGGTCCCAAGCTTCACTGATGAGTACTGACTATTGTTGGCTTCTGAAAGAATTAAACCTGACCTTTTATAGTTTTATGTGTTTTTCTAGTATATAAACACCACATGATTCTTGGTATGTCTTCTGATGGTAGGGTCACTAATGGAGTTACATGTGAAGTCTCCCATGATGACCTGGCGGTGTATAGGATGACAGTGGGGAAGATAGGCAGAATGGTTATTATTGCAAGTATGCATTGCTTTTTATCTTAGTCTCGGGCTACCGGGGTAGATTTTAAATCTTTGCTAATTGCAGATCATTTGATCCTTGAGCTTAAGTAAAAATTGATATGTACTGTAATACACTTTGGTTATGCATGACATATTCATCCTTTGTTACATTAATTCACTTATGATTCTAGTCTATTAGCCGCTTCATCTATATATACAACTTGGTTAGTTCTCATTTGGAAATATTTTTTCTTATTGATTTCTAAATTTTGGTTGGTTTAAATCTTGGCAGTACTTGGATGAAAACAAGTCTTTGATTCTGAAGATTGTGGAAAGCTAGAATTCGGGGAAGATTAATGAGTGTGCTGAGTAAGCTTAATTTGCAAACTTTGGCTATTCTTACATGATTCATAATTGTGTCTCTACTTGGTAATTTTGCAAAATTTGGCTATTTCTCTCGTGCTCGCTCTTGTTCTATGAGGTTTAGGATCACGAGCACACACGCAACTATGTTGGTTTAATATATCTAATTTTTTATGGAAGATTCTTAATTATGCGGAAGTGAATTCCACAAGTTGCTCGAGGTTCTAGTTGTGGACAAACGATTAAGGCGGTAGTACGCATACGAGATTGTCTTCACTTGTGGTATATATATCTGAACCATTCTTTGCAATATTAACTTATTTGTTCTGGTTGGTATAATGATTATGAACTGTATGACATTTTTAATTATGATATAATTGATTGGAATTGAAATAATACTTGCATCATTGACTTAGATACCCGTTCAGGGCTTACTCATTAGGAGTAAGTCTTGAATAGTCCCCGGTTTGAGACTGTTCTTGAATGTTCTATCTCATTTAGGTGATAACTACTTGAATTGTTTTGGGTCTAAGAAGATCATGGCTCACTATTTCCCGATTGTTCTCTGGGTACATATGTTGATAGCCGATTATCTACATTGTGTGCTTGGAGAATTATAGGGAAATGCTGCCGGATTTTCTTTAGAACCAAACTTTACAAGTAGTTATTAGTTAGATAGGACATTCAAGAATGGGTTAGTTTGGAGTGATAAGGACCTTATTGGATCATCCGGAGTTGCATTTACATGATATAAACTTTGAATGAAAATGTTTGATGCCTTATATTCTTGTTTATGGTTAAGGAGCTATATATGTTACAAAATATACACATTATCTTAAAATTAATTTTGTTTTTCAGTGGTTGAAAATGGATCGAAGTTGGATGTATGGTAAACGAAATTGTACAAGTTTTTTACGAGGAATTGAAGAGTTTAGCACTGTTGCCTTAAAACACCAAACAGAGAATAAATCAAAGATTATTCTTTGTCCTTGTTGTGACTGTAATAATTCGAGGGGATATCGTGATATTATTTGTCCTTGTTGTGACTGTCTTTGAATAGTTTGTTATCTTCATTACCCGAAGGTGAAACTATTAAGGTTAAGGTTGATGCTTGGACCTTTAGTTATGAAGACAGTAAGGACATCATTGTCAAACGTGAAGATGTCAATCAACTTCTCACAGGAGCTTGGTTGAATATTTCAGTTTTACAAGTTTTTATGATGTAAGATATTCAAATTTCACTCTTCCCATATATACTTATTTATTACCATTTATAATGTTATTACATGATATATATGTAGGGCCTTGAGTGACTTACTCGATACGGAGGAAGTGGCTTCCATTGGATTCATGTGTCCGGAAATGATTTCAGAAACCTATTTGCATAGTGATGCTGATCGTTCCTACTATACATGACACATGTGATGGAAAAACAAAAATCTAAGCAGTTCATCTTATGCCCATACCATGAAAAGTATAAACTTTAAACTTGTATTTATTTGAACTTTGCAAATTGTTGATATTATTTTACTCTTTTACAAATGTGTGTCTAATTTATTATGTAGGAATCATTGGGTTCTTTTGGTCTTATGCATGGCTAAGCGTGAAGTCAACATCTTTGATGCTTTGAGGCAGAAGCGAAATTTAGCAATTAAGTTTGCAATGACAAAGTAAGTCTAGTTTGTTATTTATGTCATGATTTTATGTGTGTAAGGGTAATATATATGTTATTTGTTTCAAATGTGTAGTGCTTTTCAAAGTTGTAAGGCATTAAGTGGACAATCTAGGGGAAGTAAATTGACATGGCATTTGGGACAGGTTACCTTAATTTCTTACCCTAACTTTTAGTTTGTTAATAATTGAAGTATAAAAATTTAATTCAACTTATAAATATATTACATGTAGTGTCCTCAACAATTGGGTGGACGTGAGTGTGGCTACTACGTCATGCGTTATATGTACGAAATACTTGAACATCACCATAGCAGTGAAGATCTTATTCAGGTATGAGTTGTCAAATATTTCATTTTTGTTTGATAAATACAATTTGATGTTAGCTACAATCTTGAATTAAAACTTTCCTCTTGTATATTTGTTGTGTTGATAGGATTTTTCAAGAACTACACCGTACACCGAGGAGGAGATAAATGAGATCCGAGATATTTGGGCAGAGTATTTTATATGTAATGTTGAACTTTAGATTTACACTTAGCGCATGTTGGACTCTTGTTTTGGATTATAGGCTTGAAATGAATGAATTTGGTTAATTGGTGTTGGGATGATGAGTATAATGTCTATGATATTGAGATGTAAATTATTGGACAGGTTGTTAATATAATGTCGTCATTCCCAATTTTATGGGTAGGCCAAATTACAAAGGAGACTCTGCCAAAATTTACATTTGCATTATTCAATAATATTGCATTTTAATTTCAATTATATTAGCGTTAGCATATTACTTTATACCACTAGTAAGGAAAACAGGTACTACAAACATATACAAGGAAATTATTATATTATAATTAAAAAAAAATAATTACCTCATTTGCGTCACTCATTAAACAAATAAGTGACGCAAATACAGCAGTTTTGTATTGTCTACTCAGTCATTTGCGTCACTCCTATATAAACAAGTGACGCAAATAAAAAAAAATAAGTTTATCGGAAGAGTCATTTGCGTCGCTCTTTTATAAAGGAGTGACGCAAATAACAAAAAAGAAGTTTATCAGAAGAGTCATTTGCGTCACTCTTTTATAAAGGAGTGACGCAAATAACAAAAAAGAAGTTTATCAAAAGAGTCATTTGCGTCGCTCTTTTATAAAGGAGTGACGCAAATAACAAAAAAGAAGTTTATCAGAAGAGTCATTTGCGTCACTCTTTTATAAAGGAGTGACACAAATAACAAAAAATAAGTTTATCAGAAGAGTCATTTGCGTCGCTCCTTTATAAAGGAGTGACGCAAATAACAAAAAATAAGTTTATCAGAAGAGTCATTTGCGTCGCTTGTTTATAAAGGAGCGACGCAAATGACTCTTATTTGCAACGCGCCTAGGAGCGACGCAAATGACTTAAGAGTCATTTGCGTCGCGAGTAGTTGCGTCGCGAGTAGAAGCGACGCAAATAAGCCTTTTTCTACTAGTGTATTAAAATGCCTAGCCATACGAGTTTGGTAACACTGAGTGTGATGTAGAGCTTCTAGTCGTTTCTCATCGAGTAGAATCAATTCTTCGTATCTTGCCCTAGTCTATTCAACTTCATCGAGTTTACTCTCTAGCGCGATGCGTAGAGATGGTATTTCTAGTTCGACAAGTTGTACGACATCCATTCCATATACCAAGGAAAATGGCGTATTTCCTGTTGATGTATGGATTGACGTGCGATAACCCCACAATGCGAAGTGAAGCTTGTCAGGAAAATCCTTATAATTTTCCGTCATTTTCTCGATGATAGTCTTTAGATTTTTATTAGCTTCCTCGACTGCTCCGTTTGCTTGAGGTCTATAAGGGGAAGAATGATGGTGTTGAATGCCGTATTTTTGTAGCAAATCTTCACATTCGGCTTGAAATTGAGTTCCATTGTCACTTATCATTTCATGTGGGACTCCATATCGACAAATAATATTTCTTTCGATACAGAGTGCTACATGTTTTGTAGTGAGTTTAGCGTACGATTGCGCTTCGACCCACTTTGTAAAGTAATCAATTGCTACTAGGATAAATTCGTGGCCTCCTGTTCCTGGGGGAGTGATTTTGCCAATTATGTCAATTCCCCATGTAGAGAATGGCCATGGCGATGTGTAGATGTAGAGCAAAGATGGAGGGACATGTTGTAAATTGGCATAAATTTGGCACTTAGGGCATCTTTTCACGTATTGATGGCAATCCCTATTCATTGTAGTCCAATAATATCCTTCTCGCATTATTTTCTGGACTAACATTTTACCGTTTACATGAGTGCCACAGATTCCTTCGTGAACTATTCTCATTACTCTTCGTGCATCCATCTTTCCTACACATAAGAGAGCTCGACCTTTAGGTACCCTTTTATGTAGCTCGTTGTCTATGAGTACATATTGAGAAGCCAAAAGTCTTAATGCTCGCTTTGCTCTTTTGTCAGCATGAGGAGGGGATTCTCCATTGGTGACATAATTGAGTATGTCTGTGTACCATGGTTCTTCTTCTTCTTCTTCTTGGACTAATTCGTCGTCTTCTATAGCCTGGATGTATGCTGTTTTGTGCCTTTTTTCGATAGTTAAAGGCATTTGCTCGATTTCCGTGGGAATCCTAACCATTGAAGCTAATCTTGCCAAGGCATCGGCAAATTGGTTTTCCTCTCTAGGTAGATATGTGTATTCTACCTTCTCTAGCTGACCGGTAAGAGTTTCCAGATAGGTTTGGTAAGGGGCTAGGCTTTCGCTCCTTACTTTCCACCTTTTTAGATATCTGATTGATGATCAAAGAAAAGTCTCCAAATATCCTTAATTTATTTAGTCCCAATGTCAAAGCTGTTTCAAGGCCTACCACGCATGCTTCATATTCAGCATCATTGTTGGTAACGTCGAAATCAAGCTTTATGGAGATTGGAACATGCTCCTCTTTAGGTGATACTAGTAGTACTCCAACGCCACATCCCTTTTGGTTTGAGGCTCCGTCGAAGTACAAGGTCCAAGTATCATCTTCAGTGACCATTAAGTCTTCATCTGGAAATTCATTGTCTTGTATTGGCGTCGAGTCTTCTATTGGGAAATCTGCTAGGAAGTCTGACACCACGGATCCTTTAATAGCTTTTTGTGGCATAAACCTTACATCAAACTGAGCTAGATTGACTATCCATCTTGATATACGTCCATTGAGTGTAGATTTCTCGAACAGATACTTGAGTGGATCTAATCGGGAGACTACGAAAACGGTATGCACCAACATGTAATGTCTGAACTTAGTTGTGGCCCACACCAAGACAAGGCACAATTTCTCGAGCGGTGTATAGCGTGTTTCGTATTCGAGCATCTTTTTACTTAGGTAATAGATTGCGTTCTCTTTGCCTTTTACTTCTTGTGCTAGCATGGCTCCCATTGTCTCTTTGGTAACCGTCAAATATAACCAAAGAGGTATTCCGGGGAGTGCTGGTGCTAATACGGGAGGATTGGCGAGATAGGCTTTGATCTTTTCAAAGGCTTTTTGACACTCGTCATCCCATATTACTGGTACATTTTTTTGAGCTTCTTGAAGATTGGTTCACATATTGTTGTCAGTTTTGATATGAACCTACTTATGTATTGCAACCGGCCAATAAATCCTCGAATATGTTTCTCAGTCTTGGGCGGTGGCATTGACATGATTGCTTTAATCTTGGTTAGATCTACCTCTATTCCTCTTGAGCTTATGACATATGCCAAGAGCTTGCCTGAGGTAACTCCAAAAGCACATTTTGATGGATTCAACCTCATGTTATATTTTCTTAGCC